CCATGGGCAGTCAGGTTAAAAATTTAAACAGAGAGTTCGCCTCCTTATTCCCAGAGGAAGTTTATTATTCTTCTGTTTCTGCAGATCGCTCAGGGCTCCTGGCCGTCGTTCCGATGGCGCTGGTTTCTGGCCTGGCTCTGGTTCTGGGTCCCCACCGTTCCTCACGGTGACCATTAGGATCGCTCCAGTAACCTCTCAAAACAAACAAATATACATACAAACAAAAAATCTAGAATGGACAGACAACAACATGGAAAGCTTAGAATCAGACAGGAAACGCCCAGCGTGGACCCAAACAGGCCTCACTAGGTGGGACACAAAGATTAGTAACGCCTCACTGGGGTATTGGGGATTTCTCTGCACACCCATCCTAAATTAAAAAAAAAAAATGTATTGTACCTAAACTGATAACTGTATGGAATCAGGCTGAATACAAACCAAAATTGAAATGTCTATGAAGAAGTCACAGGATGTAGTTAAGAAACCGCATCTTCCCATCAACATACTATTAATCAATGTCATGTCAATTGATGCCATGAGGTTGTAAATGGCTGTTGACGGCATGTCGGGGCCTTTAATTGTTTAGGATGATGCTTAGCTGGACTTACCTTCAGACCAGAGATGGTCTCACCAAGAAATCATTGAACCCACTAGGATAATAAGACACTGGACTTTATGCTTGGTAAATATTTCCAATGAAAGACCTTCAACTGAATTTGAACTGTGGTAATACAACAAGGTGGAGAAATCCACCATGGGGAGAGGGTTCGGGGAGGGGAGGGGGGAATCCCAGTGCCCATAACACTGTGTCACATAATGCAATACAATTAATAAAATTAAAAAAAAAAAAAAAACTTAAACAAAATGGTTTGGGCGCCACCTTGTGGTGGCACGTTAGAAAGCAGGCCGAGTGGCCCATTCTACCAACTGGTCAACCGCTCCATGGGGAGTTAGGTAAAAACTTAAATAAAATAAAATGGTTTGGGCGCCGCCTTGTGGTAGCATGTTAGAAAGCAGGCCGAGTGGCCCGTTCCACCAACTGGTCAACCGCTCCATGGGAATTAGGTTAAAAACTCAAATAAAATGGTTTGGGCGCCGCCTTGTGGTGGCATGTTAGAAAGCAGGCCGAGTGGCCTGTTCCACCAACTGGTCAACCGCTCCATGGGAATTAGGTTAAAAACTCAAATAAAATGGTTTGGGCGCCACCTTGTGGTGACATGTTAGAAAGCAGGCCGAGTGGCCTGTTCCACCAACTGGTCAACCGCTCCATGGGAATTAGGTTAAAAACTCAAATAAAATGGTTTGGGCGCCACCTTGTGGTGGCATGTTAGAAAGCAGGCCGAGTGGCCTGTTCTACCAACTGGTCAACCGCTCCATGGGGAGTTAGGTAAAAACTTAAATAAAATAAAATAGTTTGGGCGCCGCCTTGTGGTAGCATGTTAGAAAGCAGGCCGAGTGGCCCGTTCCACCAACTGGTCAACCGCTCCATGGGAATTAGGTTAAAAACTCAAATAAAATGGTTTGGGCGCCGCCTTATGGTAACATGTTAGAAAGCAGGCCGAGTGGCCTGTTCCACCAACTGGTCAACCGCTCCATGGGAATTAGGTTAAAAACTCAAATAAAATGGTTTGGGCGCCGCCTTGTGGTGGCATGTTAGAAAGCAGGCCGAGTGGCCCGTTCCACCAACTGGTCAACCGCTCCATGGGGAGTTAGGAGAGACTTACCATTTTCATGAAGTCCTGACAAACTTCCAGGAACTGCCAAAAAAAAAAAAAAATCTAAGGCGTTTTGAATCCTGGACATCAGTATGCCGACAGACTCTGTGTGTGTATGAGAGATCTATGGATCATTTCTATGAATGATCAAACACGGGTGTCAATAAGTTGACTGAGACTCCCTTCAAAAGTATATGTGTTCATTTAGAAACCTAAACTAAAAGGGCCAGCATATCAGGCTGAGCCACAGCTTGCAATGCCAGCATCTCTGTTAATGTGACTGGGAAGCAGTGGAAGGTGGTCCACACACCTGAACCTCTGCCACCTGCTTGGGATGCAGTGGAAGGTGGTCCACGCACCTGAACCTCTGCCACCTGCTTGGGATGCAGTGGAAGGTGGTCCACGCACCTGAACCTCTGCCACCTGCTTGGGATGCAGTGGAAGGTGGTCCACGCACCTGAACCTCTGCCACCTGCTTGAGATGCAGTGAAAGATGGTCCACGCACCTGAACCTCTGCCACCTGCTTGGGATGCCAGAGTTGAATTCCTGGCTGCTGGATTCATTCTGGCCCAGCTCTAGCTGTTGTGGTCACCACAGAGACCCAGCAGATGGAAGATCTTTGTCCTTCTCAATTGCTCGGTCTCAAACAAATCTTTAAAATAAAAATGGAGATGAACAATTAACACTTTTACACAAAGTGTTCTTACAAGGCCCAAATTTAAAGTTAATATTTAATCTTTTAAAAAATCAATCCAAAAGTTCAAATTTAGAAGACCTTAACTAAATATACAGATATTTTATACTTATTAAATATATCCTTAAGTCATTTTTATGAAATGAGAATGTTAAATTTAAAAAGTGGGATAAAATTGGTTGCTATTTTTGACCTAAAATATTTTATTGGGGAGGTTTTTGTGTATATGATTGAGAATTTGAACAGCAAAGCTGTTATTAGACGCTACTATGAGTGATAAAATCATGTGGTGTCTCGTATTTTAATTCTATTTAAAATTCCCAAATTTGATGTGATGAGCAGGCGGTGCTAAGATGTGAGTGAAAACTCCTGATGTAATACATGAAGGCTATAACATTAACAGTTAAGTTCTCTTCACTCTCCATCAAGACCACTCCCACATAAGGCAACCTGCGCACCCAAGGTCAAGCAGAGAAAATAATTGACAAACGAGACAACCTGGAGGAAAAACACCTTCCAGAGGTTTGAGAACGACTGTAACATCACAGCGACGGACTTTCTTCCTGTTGGAAGTAGACGGAACAAAATACGACAATTGAGGTTTTTTTAAGTTATAGTTAAGTTTCAGCATCTCTTTCAAAAATTCATACAAACATGGAAGCTAAGAACACCTGCCAGCCTGACTGAAGTTTCTTGTTTTTGACAACCTGTTTATTTTTTATTTTGATATATATTTTTGGTTCAGAGACTTGAAGAAAAACATGATGATTCCTTTAAGATAAGAAAAAAAAAAAAAACAAACAAAAAAAACCAGTCCTGATGAGGCTCATGCTGTAATAAACCCTTGGAGCTGGTTTAGCTCATGTGTACTCCTCAAAGGTCAAAAGCAACAATTCAAAGAGTGTGTGTGAATGCAGGTTCTGGGTTTTCAAAACGAATGATCAAATAATTCGGTTAAGTAAATTTAGTTTTTGCAGAGATTCGCCACCTAATTCCTGCTTCCTTGCTGTCTGAATTTTCCCTAGAGCTCTGATCATAATCATGGAAACAGCAATGCAGACACAACCGCTGGCAGTCCGATCATCCCAGTGCCAGCCACCGTGAACAGTTCTCGAACAGCCCGGAAGGAGCAGTCGCTGTGTGGGGATTTTGCCGCTGGGGAGACGGCAGGACAAACCAACATGCTCCAGTCAGTGTATTTAAGTGGTTTAAAAACTCCAAGCATTTTTCAACTGACAGAAAGGCTGAAACTTTGCTCAGCATATCACATGAGCGCACCGCCTCAGGGAGGCGAATGTCTTGGGGGAGCAGTTTGTCACCTCTCACCATGTTTATGAGGCAGAGCAACGGCAAGGGAGTGTCAACCACACCGTAAATTTGGCAATATAATACATCGAATATCTGATATGATTACCACAGTGCAAAAATTTTCCAAGTTGAAATCAACTCTGGCTTTATTTACTCATCAGCATTCCAATCTAATGAAATAATAAACTTGGCCCATCAACACATAATCCATTTCTTTCATCATAGTAACATTTTTCATGCAAGTAACAGTTTTAATGTCATAATGTAACTGCTGTAAGTTAAATTGATTCAATTTAATTAACAAGCATTTATTTCGCGCCTACCTGTGCACAGCACTGTCCTAGGCATACAAAAGGATGAGAAGATACGGTCCCTGCTCAAAGGGAGCTTACAACCTGTGTAGGAAAGACGACGCGTGCATACAAGAACCACTGAAAATCACATGGAGATAAACATAACTAACGACCTACGCACTCAAGGCAGCCTGTCGTGAAGGCTCCGTGATGGAGAAGCGATGCTATCGGGAAAAGACGATCAGCAAGAGGACTGACAGAATCGTGAGGTCAGAAAGGAGAAACCACAGGAGGGTGACACACATCAGCATGGCCGGTGCAGGGACTGGCAGGGGGACTGGTGTGGCTCCAGAGAGGGGCGGAGTGGAGGCATGCTGCCCAGGCTGGTGAGGGCAAGTGGGCATGGCTGCTCGCGGTCAGGGCTGATGTTCATTTTACAATATTCTTTCAACTCACCGAGACACAAAAGCCCACAAACAGAAGTGTGTTTTCTAGCCTTGACAACAAAGCAACGAAAACTTGTAGAATGCTGAGAGAGTAAGCCCAGGGAAACGGTCACTGAAATTCGAACAGACACACTGTGGGGCAGCAGTCACTTCTGGCATTGGTTCTCTTCCTTACTTGAATTGATGAAGAGCTGGGTTGGTTCAGAGTCAAGAAGCTCGTGAAGGCAGGAGACATCCCCACTCTGCACTCGCTTAGCGACTCAATTCCTTCTCAGGCCAAATCCAGGCTGCATGTATATTTGTGGGAACAGGAGGAAAAAATATATTTATATATATATATATGTTTCTGCTCTCGTAAAAGTAGGTGAGTTCCTTATTTTCTGAGCTTAGACGGAAAAACAGGAAGGTAAAGTCACGCGTAGCTCAAGACAAGGCTGAAGAAATGGGCTTTAGCAAACAAGCATTGTTTTGAAAATTAACCCCCATCCTAGCCTACATAGCTGGGTCACACCAGCAATTTACTGCATTAAAGCAGGGGGGCAGAGCAGGGCAAAAAGCAGTGGCGCAGGAACAGATCTGTAATTGAGAAGAGGTGGAGACCCCTGGTTCACGTGGGACTGATGATGCTTTTATGCAAGAACATGACCTTGATAATCCGTCTGGGGTAGAACAAGGGGTTGTTTCTTCAACAGAAAGAAACCGTCCAGATATCTGTGCGAGTTACTGGCCACCACCAGCTGCGGCTGTTAAAAAAGAGAGAAAGCGCTGATCCAACAAAGGCACATTGAACTCGGTTCCTGCTTAGCTGTCTAAGGGGAGGCTGTCTGAAATGTGGATCTTCCAAAAGTGCCCTACTCTGCTTTAATACTCACCACTTTTCTATTCAAAATGTTTCTATATTTACTTAATAAAATTCTGATAAATTGCAATTACAGGAGAATCAAAGTCTTGCTTTTTTGCAATGCTTACTCACAACTGCAAATGTAATGAACATGGAGATGTATCATTTTCAGATCTTTCCAAAGCCAAGAGGTCCTCGTTGTCCAATAACTACTCAGGGCATAGTTACTGTGAGACTGCACACAGCTCGGGGAAAGTCAGCTAATGGCATGCTAGAACATTGCACCATTATTTCATTAAGGGAACAGTAAGTCTCAACTAGAATTCTTAGCTTAGAATCCAGAACTTTGCACCTACCACTTTAAGCACGAATTTGGTGCTGTCCTGTTACACAAAAGCGCTGCTGGGATGTGTGTTGTATGCTGTTCTAGTTCCCCATCTGCAAAGTCTAAATGAACCTACGCAGCACCCACTACTGTAACCCCTTCTTAGACTTCAAGTCTACAGTCATCACTTCTCAGATAAGGGCTATGGGCTGGACACAATTAGAAAAAGAGATCTAGTTACTGCTTCTCTTGGTGAAGGACTCGTGAAGGTTTGTCTAGGCCACGGAAGTAAGACGCTGGAATGACCTCTTGCCTTCTCCCAAACATGACAGTTACAGAACTGAAGACACGGAAGTGGGAATAAACTCTTAAGAAAGTGACACTGAGAGAGGACAAGCAGTGACTGTTAAACTAACATCTATTTTAACAGAAATTTTACGTTCATAGTTGAGAAGCAGCACAGTTCACAGGAGAGCTCCACAAAGCTCAGACTTTTGCAGCACCCGGCACCCCCAGACATGAACATTAAGGGGATGACTGTCTCTGTCTTAGGCAGCAAGTTCAGGTTTACGAGTGGAGAAGTCGTACCTCCCGCCCCTATGTAATTCTTCCCCCATGGACTCAAGCGATGCTGGCCAGTCGTCACCTGGACGATGATGGGGAGGGCGCACTAACCCTCCCCTCCCGCGCTCCCGGAAAGGCCCGTGACGAAGAGGGCTCTGTCTGTGTCGGCCCTGCACTTCCTGACTCTGGAGGCTGGCCTTCCAAGGACCACTTGCGTTCTTGTTTCCCGTGGAAATGATCTCCTGATTACCACAGAGGATTGGTTCCAATACTCTTCAGGCACCAAAATTCACAGATACGCATATCCCTACCACAAAATGGCACTTTTTAAGTATAGCCTACACACACACATTAGACCATCTCTGGATTGCTCACACTGCCTAATGCGATGCACATTGTAGGTAAACAGCTGCCAGGATGTACTGTTTAAGGGATAATGATGTTATTTTTAAATTTGCACAGGATTATTCCTAATGTGATTTTATATAAAAGAAAAATCATGTTTTTGATTGGCAGTTGATTGGATCTTTGGATGCAAAACATGCATATTACAGCTAGGGAGGGCCAAGTTTACTTTATAATTCAGCAGGCTTAGAAAAAGCACAGCTAATGGATTAGAGGAGGCTCCTGGCAGCCACTGTGATGAGCTCAGAGAGACACACCCCTGGGATCTTCCCATTGTCTCCATCCAAGTGTAAAAATAGTCAAAATGTGCAAGGGCGAGTCTGCCTTTGTGTCTGCTATGTGACTTTGGGGTGTTCTCTTCATTTTCTACCAGTATTCAAGGTTAATTTTTTTAAAAAGCTACTGTTAAATTTACATTCCTAAGTTTTTTTCTTTCTCCCCTTTTAAAATTCCTCGTAAAACAACCCATCTCCCTGAATATAAAGCGAAGACTTGAAACACGGGCCATGGGACTGTGGACGGAATTGCCCACTTCAGGCAGACCGCCCGCTATCGAACCCTCCATTTGGAGGAACAAAGCAAAGCGGGGAGCACGGCGGCAGCTGAGAAATGAAGCTCGCGCCCTCAGCGCCTCTCACCTGCGCGGGCGGCCGCCATCTTCTTGTTCCGCATCTTGTTCTCCAGCGCTTGCTACACCGGAAGAGACGGGAGCAGCAGTCAGAACTCCTCCCTTCCTCCTTGACACTAAGTAAGACGACGTTTCTGTGAAACGCATTCTTACCATTTTCATCTTCTTTTTGAGATCCAGGTTTGCTGCCTTCTGGCCCTTGGCAGTAGCATTGAGATAATAGATGGTCAAACTAAATGTAGAAAAATAATAATAAAATAAAAAAAAAAATAATAAAGCAAAATGCATGCCATCTTTCAGCTCCTCGAGATTCTTCGTAAACTGACGGTGACTAAATCCTTCGATGAGCGCGCAAGGGGGTGCCACCTGTACTGTGTAGGTAGCAGTGAGGGTTCGGCTCAGGACTGCCCAGTGACAAGGACGAGTCCAGGAGGGTCCCAAGCTCCGTCCTCCAGGCTGCACCACTCAATACTGGCTTCCTCTTGGAAACACACTGACATCATATTAAGTTGTAATTAAAAACAACTTGTTAATTTAACAGCAATGGTATCCAAGAGAGGAAAATGTATTGATGCTACATGTCAAAAGAGGAAAGCCACATTCTACCCTAAATTCCCTCCTTTGGCCTTTAACTGGGAACAGAATCCTCACAGGCGTAGTAGAGTAATATGGATTTTTTCCATAAAATATATTGTTTCCATTTCCATTTCTCCTTCTCTTTATAAAAGAATATGCTTCCAGAAAAAGCAAATTGCAACCTAGCAATTCTGCTGAAAGCAGCACTCTCATCTTAGGGGGAAAAATGAACAAAGAAAAAGAAATGCTCTTTAAAAATGAAAGTGACACTGCTGTTTGTGGCAAATAGTTGGGTACTGAACACATCTCCTCTACTCGCCACCGTGCCAGATAATATCTTTTATATCTTTTATGGGCCATCTGGAGTTAGCAACCCAATTATTGATACACTTTAACTGGGTTGTCTCTTATATCAGTGGAGGGAGTTTGGAATTACAGACATGCAAGCAGGTATCTAAGGATTATCTGCCACACACACACACACACACACACACACACTGGTGTTCGATAAATGTGTGTGTGTGTTGCAAGGATTTGCCTAGAACTTTCCCTTGATTTGGGCGGCAAAGTCGAAGACCTCAGAAGTCATTTCCGTTTGTGGATTCTGATCTTATCAACACTGGTTCCCTGCCTTGCCATAACTCATTTCCTCATTTCCAAAGGGATCCAAGTGCCTGCGGAGAACTAACCGAGCTCTACTCAAATGCTGCAAAACCATCGAGGCTCATTCTGGAAGAACCACTGGGGAAATTCAAAATGTCTCTTAATTAAAGGTAATAAAAAGCCAAGCCAACCGTATGCGCCCTATAAAAGAAAAAATGAGGCCTCCGGGTGTGAAAAAAAAACCATAAAATCAGTAATAAACTGAAATTTGGACTTTAAATCAGAAGCTCAGAGCTAACACTGGCCCCTCCTGGGTCTCAGCTTGCCTTGCAGGGTGTCCCAACAAGGGGCAGGCCTACGACTTCCAACTCCAGCCCAGTCCCCAGGCTGGTTAGTTTGGTCCATGAACTCAGAACGCTTTTCACATCCTTAAGTGGTTATGTGAGTATTCACTAAGATCCTCAGTGACATCTTGGCCTAAAACATCTGCTGTCTGGTCCATCCGTGACTACCAGCTTGGAGCCCATCCGATGTCTCCACTGAACCAGAACTCAAGTATGTGTAAAAAAAAAAAAAAAATCGGTGAGACTGAGAAGGCAGGACTTGAAGTCCGTTTCTCCAATGCCAGCGTCGGCTCCCGGCCTACACCTGCGGCAGACTGCTCACTGTTTAGACAGTGGCATTTGAATCAAGCTGCTCCTCTGCTTACAAACGGGCATCCCTCAGCAAAGAACACCATCACAAAAGCTAGGACGTTTCTACTGTGTGTGCATGTTCTGAACAGGATCTCACTTATGCCACTAAAATGGCCCTGACTCGCAGAGATGCTCAGATATCCGAGACATGCTCTTAGAAGCCACTGCTGTCATGAACGTGTAGAGTACGGAAATCACTTTGATGGCCATCTGGCGAGACACGCTGCACTCGCTCGACAGGTCGTTTCCCAACACACCCAGAGATGTCGTTATCAGATTCTTTAGGTCGCCTCACCGTCAAGGGTCTCTAATTTATAAGAGCGATCTGTCTTGCTGTTGATTTTTCCCATCAGCTTTTCTGCATAGAAGACATCCCGGGTTAAGGAAGTGAACATTGGATTCCCTGCCAATGGATTTAACTCCCAGCACTGCCTTTTTAGTGTCTCACGTAGCAGGAAAACTCACTTCCCACCTGCCCTTTCTTAGTTTATAAAATCTATAATGTTGCGTATGACGCCTGCCCCCTCTCTTAGGAGACTTGAGATCGTGGTCACAACCAAGATGACGGTAACAACTTGGTCGGATTCTCAGCTCATTTACTCCAACCCACTGGGAGATGGCGCCCTGGGGATTCCTCCCTTCGCCTTTATCCAAACAATCCCGCCCTTCCCATCAATGCTGTTCCTGAAGTGTCTCTCAGGTGGATTCATCCCTGCCCTTCTTGATTGATGGTGCAGGAGGCACTTTGGGGTTTAAAGGAAGAACTGAGGCACTTTTCTTGGCTTTTCCATAGTAAGTATGTATTTTTATTTTAGAGGCAAGTGTATATGGGTTGACCAAGGCTCCGAAGCCAATAAAAGTTCTATGGGAACAAAACCTCCTGCCAAGTTCTTCCTCAGAAATCACTGTGAAGTGACATTTGCAAGACCCTCTGGTCCTCTGGCTCTATTAGCATAAACACACTTACTGACAGTCTTCTAAGGACACAGGGTAATTATTAAGACCCCTTAAGCTCTTGGTTCTAAAATACAGCTTACGGAGCCCCCCCAGGGGTCACTAACTTGGAGGCTCATCATTTCTGTATATGCACAGCCATCTGCTTTATGGAATAAGAGCTGGGGGGCGGGCTGCGGGGGACGCTCCAACATACTGATTAGATTTAGCCTTTAACATTGATGTTTCCCTGGCTTTAGCTGTTTACTGATAATTATTTTGGTTACTTGGGAACAAATCCTATAATCCCGGGGAGGGAAAGCCAGATGCAGATGGCTGTGAATTCCATCCAATAAGATAAGAATGTGCCTCATGAATTTCAGCTCTCAAAAACATGTAATCAGCCCTGAATCTGGCTGGGTTACAGCACAGCCCTTGGGGAGGAAAGAGCTGGAATGGCCGACACTCCCGAGGAGCCAGGGAGCACAGCATAAAGACCCTGTCCGCACAGGGGAGGTACGCACGCCATCACCAGCACAACAGCAATGACCAGTCCGGGGTTCGAGAGCTGCCTCAGTATCTTCGCCATCCAGCTGGGAAAGTCATGTTCCAGGGTCTCGCCAATGACTTCGAACATCCGATTTTTGCCACTGAGAAAGAAAAAGGGGGTGGGTGGGAAAAAAAAAGTATATGGGAACTATGATTAGTTCAAGATCATTAGAAATCTTTCTACGATGCCCGCACTCTGTCACATTCAAAATCTTATACTGAGCTGCAACTCCTAATATTTGGCCCCATGCATTGTCAACACGTGGATAAGATCTGAGAAACGGTGTCCCAACAAAAACACACAGCCGAGGCTATTAAGAAATTAGTCACGGCATTAGAAGACTTCTACAAACTGCATTTCTAAAACTTGGATTGAATATGTTTTACAAGCAGCCCCCAAGCTTGCCCTCTCAGCCAGCAGTTGGAGAATGAACTCTTTGGGCAGAGTAAACATGTTTAGTTTGTAACTGGCTTTGGAAATGAGCACAAAGAATGGCCCGCCGAATAAAAGGCACATATAATCCAATAGCTCTTCCCATGCGATGCTTTCACCCTCCAACACAAAGGGTGATAGCACCGAGAACAGCAGGTGCTTCTCTGTGTTCCCTCTGAACGCCACTAGGCCGCGCTGCTGTGACTCTCCAAGGCCACGGAACACCTGCTACCATCGATTGGGAAGGTGATAGCAGGCTATCTTAACTTAGATTATCTGCAATTTCAATGTCAGATTCACTGTACAAAGCTTTTTGATACATATGTTTTAGAAAAGATAGAGTGTGTTTCACCAAATTGTATGTATCATCAGAATAGAACATTTTCAACTATTAAATAAATACGACCCATAAGTTCCAAATCAGATTTTTTTTTCTCCCTTCAGTCAGAACTAATACCGTCATCCGTCAGGCAGAGGGTGTCATCAGGTATTTTGTCAGCAGTTACAGCACTGAAGGGGACAAATTTTGCTTCAAAGATTACAGATTTATACAATAATTAATAAGACTTAAGATACATAACGGGGGGGGGCGATGCAGCCTCCAGATAATAATTTAAGATTAAATTACTTTGATCCAATGCCGCTTCATCATTTTTCTCTGCTAATTGATGCATCCCTTACCTGCAGCCACATGGAGCACAGCGAAAGAATTCAAGAGAATCAGAAAGAACCAGAAAATCCATCCTCCCATCTCGGGTCACAGCTGATGAATATGGTCAGAGTAGGGGGCCTAGAACGTTATTAAATCATGTCTATTCCAAAAATATATTTTAAAAAAATAAAAAGACTTATTTATTTTTCTTGGAAAGTCCGATTTACAAAGAGAAGGAGAGACAGAAAAATCTTCCAAAATCTTCCATCCACTGGTTCACTCCCCAAGCAGCCACAGGGCCAAAGCTAAGGCGATCTGAAGCCGGGAGCCAGGAGCTTCCTCTGGTCTCCCCTGCAGATACAGGGTCCCAAGGCTTTGATTCGTTCTCTACAGATTTCCCAGGCCACAAGCAGGAGCTGCATGGGAAGCGCAGCAGCCAGGACACGAATCAGCACGCACGTGGGATCGCAGCGCATGCAAGACGGGGGTTTCAGCCACTAGCGTATTGCACTGGGCCCTGCAAAAAGATCTTAACATGGTGTTTCAACACAAAGTCGCCCAAATCTCGCATTCTTGGGTCCCCTTTTCCAAACCGAGTCTCGCCAGAAAAATGAGTCAGATGTCTTAATCACTGTCAAATTACAGAAGCATCTCTCAATCCCCAGCGAGCCGTGCCTGGTCACCCGGTGTGCCGTGCCAGTGTCCTGCGAACTCCTCTTGTCTCCGACTTCACATGCCAGAGATGCGGCCAGCGTCATCTGCTCCACACATGCGCAGTCTGCGGGGAACGCTTTCTGCTGACCCGGACTGAGCCGTTCTCGGGATCCGAACACCCACTGGGTGTGTGAACCTGCCTCTACGCGAACAAGACTGCCCCACCTCCTAGCACGCGCTATCAGTCATTACTCACTCATTAACAAAGTAGCATGCAGGACTGTGTTCTGGACTTACAGAAATGAAAGCACGAGCCGGAAACGTCAGGACAGTGGACAGGCTGAGGTATAAACCTTGGATGAACAATGCAACAGCAGTCGCAAAGCTGTATCTGGACAAGTTCTATCTGAACTTGTGCTGAGTAAATGAGCTCAGCTGCTTAAAGTCATCATAAAGAGGAAATCAGAATACAAATGCCAAAATGTTGTTATTTTTACTGTTTGAACGATGGGTCATATTTTTTTCCTTAATGCTAAGTTTCCACAATTTCTGGTTTCTCTAGGATAAACACATGTTGCCTTTACAGTAAGATATAAATCACATTATTTAAAAGTAAAATTTCCATTAACAGTTAAGTATGTGAGAAACTAAAAAATTACAAAATATTCAAAATTCTTGGCATGATTAGCGAAAAATGCCAATTGTCAGGAAATGCGATGGAACAATAACAATAATTATCTTCATTTGGACACTCCCCAAGTGACCGCTACGACCAGTTCTGCACCGATCCAAAGCCAGGAGCCAGGAACCTCCTCCAGGTCTCCCACACGGGTGCAGGGTCCCAAGGATTTGGGCTGTCCTCAACTGCTTTCCCAGGCCACAAGCAGGGAGCTGGATGTGAAGCAGGGCTGCCAGGATTAGAACTGGCGCCCATATGGGATCCCGGCACATTCAAGGCAAGGACTTTAGCCACTAGGCCACTGCGCCAGACCCCGAATAACCATTCTTTTGTTCCAAACTGAGGAAAGCGAGAGGAAAATGAACCAAGTACTATGAAGTACTATGAAGCTCCCCAGTGTTGGAGTAAAACTATTTTAACTTTCTTGATCTCAAAATAGTACCACACGTGCAGTAATTTTACCTACATTTGCCAATAAGGACAGTCCAGGTTCAAATCGGATGCAATGCCTTACACAGACTCACGGGTTTGCAGTTAGAAGCTTGAGTAACTCAGTGTACGGCAAAAGGAGTTACTACTTAAAGAGTGAAACCCGCACCATCATTGTGGGGCTTACTCATCAGTGTTTTAAATCCAAATGCAGCTGTGTAGCCACCAGCCCGTTCCTTCCTTACACTGTGTGGTTTCCCTAGCGATCACTAAAGGCATTGCTACGTTTTACTGCGCAGGATCAACTTTCAGTTAAAAAACCTTAAAACGCACCTAAAAGTTATCCTAGATATTAAGTGGTGTGAGTAATTTGCAACTGAAGTCTTACAGCAGCATCTCTCATACTTGCTACTCTGTTACCAAACAAGACAAATGCCTCCTTCTCGACTGTAATTTCAGCTTTAGCCACCAGATGTCACTGTCCGCATTATCCACTTCAGCCAATACACCTATACGCACGCTGAAGTGAAGAATCTTGTCAACTGCCATTTCCTGAGCATAACAGAGCTCCAGTTAGCCTAGCTCCATCAGCTTCATACATGCCTCTCTTTATACTTGGTCTGTGGACTTTAACAGCCTGAGCGGGACAGATGAAAAGCAAATTGCACGTCGCCACGCTAGCTCCACGCTTGCCACTCATAGGGTTTTTCACTCTCTCCTCTACTTCACAGAATGGAGAGAGCGGAACTGCCTGCTGGCTGGTGACAGCACCCAGAGACTCTAGTGGACATTTGCACCACATGAATGTCCAAGGCTCTTCAGGAAATGAAATCTTTTAAGACCTCTAGGACTTTGCTTTCTGTAACGTGTCATTACGAAATCTCTGTCCCGAGGAAGAGAAACAAAATACATGTCCAACTTGAATCCCAGAACCTTCCTGATTCCTGGCCACTAACTAGAGCGATAGTTTTGTGATTATATTTAAGGAATTGCATTTAACCTTTGTACTAGCATCTAGCATTTTGAGTAACTTTCTACTTATTCTTGCTTAACAATGATTTCACTTGCTAGGTAACCTATGGGGACATCTCCTTTCGAGGTGGTGGTCTGCGTGATTGTGGCTGAGCGTGATGGGCCGACACCAGGAAAACTCCCACACCAGCGTCAGTGTAATGGCATCCTGTCCGTTGCTGCATCCTGTGATGGAGACAGCTCAGCTCCATCAGTCACACGTCACTCAGGAAGAACTTACAGCAGCACAAATTACTTCCCTTTTTACAATTTCCAAATGAGAAAACAGATGTCCCATAATGAGCAGAGTGGCCAAAGGATATCATTCCTCTAACCAAAATGCAATTGTACACACACACACACACACGCGGCCATCGGCGCCTCCACCCCCCAGGACACACGTGCACACACTGCACCTCGTCACCTGAAAGGGCCACAGTCGAAGGACGGCGGGAGGGACACAATCATGTACAACACCGGCATGGTGGACAGGAAGAGGATGAGCAGCAGCATGCCCAGGTAGAAGTTGTTGGAGCGACTCGCCTTGAAGACTCTGGCCTCGGGGACGTTGCAGCACATCACGGCCCAGCACTGGAAGTACATGGACGTGTGCAGACGAAGGATGTTGATGCCCGGGAGACTCGGAGCAAAGAACGACCCCATCCTGCAGGGAAACAGGGCCCAGCTCCTTCTGAGTCCTGACTCCCCGCAGCATCATGCAGGGAGACAGGGCCCGGCTCCTTCTGAGTCCTGACTCCTCGCAGCGTCATGCAGGGAGACAGGGCCCGGCTCCTTCTGGGTCCTGACTCCTCGGCAGTGTCACGCAGGGAGACAGGGCCTGGCTTGGAGGGAGACAGGGCCCGGCTCCTTCTGGGTCCTGACTCCTCGCAGCGTCACGCAGACCTGCACATTCACCGGCTGCTTCCTCTCAAAAGGCGGGAATCGTATGACCGCTTTCAGCCGTACCTTTTACATCAACCTATTTGCATCTTGCACACACATTCTACAGTTCTCCTGTTATTACAGGGATTGCATACATAATTCTTGTGCTATTAGCAACTATCCCTGCTGTCATTAATAAAGTAGAACAGGATAAGCAATATGTTATAATTGTTTCAAAATCTAATACAAGTTTCATTTCTCTTAATAGGCACATCAGTGATTAACAGACTTACTACATGTAATATTTTTATAATTGATTCTTAAACTCACTCATTCCAATCAAATGAACTATAAATTTGGATTCATTACTTTTGTCATAGTTATGCTTTTCTGTTTAGATACTATTTGTTCTTTGTAGCTGCTGAAATGACTTATAACTCATTGGTCATTTAAAGCTAGCTTAACTGTATATTTTTAGCATGAAAATTTCATATGTACATCTAAATTCAACTCAAATATTTAAATTTGTGCTTTAGTCTTAGCCACTGATTTTTTTTTTTTTGCACACAACTTTTAAAAACTATTTTTTAAAGTGACATTTTTAATCAGAAAACCACTTGGGTTAGGTTACTTTTATTAGTGGCCTCAACGATTATCTCAACAAAATGTATTTTTATTTTTTATAAGAAAATCAGTTAGCAGCACGAAGGAATACAAGCAGTAATGTGCAAGTCCCAAATCAGAATGAAGGTATATATGAACTTGTTTTACAAATATAAGCAGAGCCTTATCTTCTCAACTGTCCCGAGTACAGAAACGCTCGCAGCATCACTACTCTAGTATTGTATACTCCTTGCACATGCAGAATCACAGAGCAATCCATGCAATGTAAGTGCAATGCATTATGGGGAAATTTCTGAGTTAAGCAAAGAAATTAGTTTCTGCCATAACTGTACCTGTGCCAACCCAGATATAACTCACTCTTTGGTGGGTGAAATCGTGTCATGATTCGGGTTGTCGGGCTGACAGAATTGTGAACAGCAGGTATGAAGGATATTTTAGTACACCAAATCAATCAAAACCTTTCTAAGATATTAAAGTATAGATATCTTTATAAGAGGATGGATTTTTAACACAGCCAAGTATGCCATTGCTACAGGGCAGCAAGAGGAGAGATGGAAGTCCAAGAAAGCCAGCAAGTAGATGAGTCATAGCCTCAGCTGATAGGCCAGAGCTGCGAAGCCCTGGACGACAGCCCCAACTGCCACTCCTCCTGGTGCAATATACCTGTGTAAAAATCAGTCTTGGCCATATGGCTTCCTTCAGAATAAAACTATAATGAGGGGACCAGCATGGTAGCCTAGTGGCTAAAGTCCTTGCCTTGCACGTGCCAGGATCCTACATGGACTCAAGTTCTGGTCCTGGTGGCCCCACTTCCCACCCAGCTCCCTGCTTGTGGCCTGGGAAAGCAGTCAAGGACAGCCCAAAGCCTTGGGACCCTACACCTGGTTGGGAGACCTGGAGGAGGCTCCTGGCTCCTGGCTTTGGATTGGCTCAGTTTTGACCATTGCAGTCACTTGAGGAGTGAATCATCAGATGAAAGAGCTTGCTCTCTGTCTCTCCTCCTCTCTGTATATCTGACTTTACAACAACAAAATAAATATCAAATATGTATATATGAAATATTTCACTATTGGGTAGAAATTGCACATTTTTGTACTATTTTTCACTCTCTTCTCTCTGCTGCTACTGTCACCAGCAAAGTTTCAAACGGACCTTATTCCATCCGTGTGAATTGTTAAAGTGAAGCTATAACAGCCAGAGCTCTACCCAACGCACACTGAATGCGTTCTTTTCTTAAGCCACTAGAATTAGAAACTGAGTTTCCTGGCTGCCCAGCTTAGTTGATGCTAAGACATAGGTTTGTACATAATTTCAAAAACAGCCTTGAGGAGAGCCACATGCAGTTACACATACATATGCATTGCTTGTCTATGTGCGTGAATGCATGCAAATACAGTATATGGATTCACAGCAACAAATAAATTAAAAACACTACCACACATAGATATTTTGTACAGATTACTCAAAAGTCATAATCCAGGGGGGAAAAAAGGGTCCAGGCATCCTAACAGCTGGGTCTCAATGCTCCTCCTCTCTGCTCACTCAGCAGCTCAGCTCACTGAGTCCCTCCCCCGGTCTTGACTGCATCATCTCTCAGTTATAACTCATTCTAATACCTTAGCTTTATAAAGTGCTTTACTTCCAAGAAGATCAAAGCAAAAGAAAGCTTCTTTTGTTTAACTCCCCTATTGCTCCAGTGACAGGTATATGTCAATTACTCACATGTGACAACTGAGAGAGAAGTGGCAAGGCTCAGAAAGCTCCCCAGTCAGCAGCACAGAAACGTGCAGAACTCTGCGTCTCTCTCTACGCGTTCTCTGCTGCTGCTCTGTCTCCTGCCTGGATAAGGATAACATGTGCTTTCCTTGCTTAAAAACACCACTGCAGGACCTTATGGTGCCATGTAAACATGAAATACAAACGGTGTTGATCATTTCATCCAAATCACAACAGATTAGATTTTCCCTGTGAATGCTGACTTCCATCATATCTGCAAAAAATAAATTCTACTGTTCAGGAATTCCTAAAACAGCCACTCAGAATCTCCAGTCACAAAACAAAGGGCTTGAACACGAAAACTCTATACCATTTTTTTTCTATAAAATGGTTAAACTTAGATATCAGATCCTTATGCTTAAAAAAAAAAATGTAATTGTCTGTCCTGAGGAGCTTGTTTACACAGAGCCTCTGCTTGCACTTTTCCTCATTACTCTCTGTCTCCGTCAACTGCCTCACCAACTCCCCGGGAGTTTCAGAAGCACGTCTGGATTGATGCGAAGGTGAGTAATGGGATGACGCTCTGGAAAGTACCTGAATAGCCGTGCCATCAAGAAAACCCATACTGTCATTCGAACGTGCTCTGCAGACCAACCGGCATCAAGCCTGGTCGTTGTCTCAAGAATGAATACAGAGAAACCGACCCAGCAGAGACTTGGATAATGGGTCCGCCTATGAGAGACTGGAAACTGGAAAAGGTGTACAGATCCACTAGGAATTTCAATAGGAATAATAGTGGAAAAACACTACAAAACTACACATTTAGACCAATCAGGATAGCAAGGACAACAGCTTCTCTGACAATAAAAATGAATTTCGAGGCCGATCTGTTGTCTTAATTCTGGAAGAACACAGCGGACAGTGCACGCAGGAGGTTCGTGCCCTGTTCTATGCAAAGCCACTGGTGTGGGGCTGTGACTTCTCACTACTCCATCAGCTTTATTTGCCATTTTCTGCCATGACAATGAATCCCCTCCAGAAAAAGGAATATCAGAAATCAAAGGACGTGTTTCCCTCTACTGTTCCTGTCAGTGATCAGCTTGACCTGTCTCCTTGCTCAGAGAGTTACAGATATATTTGATTCCTGAATGCCTCTCTGAACAGATGAGCCATAGGTATAAAACGCAGGTAGCGAGGAAGTACAATTACATGTTCATGTCTGATAACAGAGGCAGACATTCAGCACAGTGGTTAAGATGCTACTCAGGGTGTCTTGGTTTGAATCCAGGCCATCTTCCTGATCCCAGAGTCCTGTTCACTCACCTGCTAGCTGGCAGGTGACAGAGCAGGTACATCCATGACACCCACGTGGGAGACACAGGTTGACATCCGGGCTGCCGGCGTCAGCCTGGCCCAGTCCTTGTTCAGTTACTCAGTGAATAACTCAACAGACGCAAGATCCTTCTGTATCCCTGTCATTCCTTGTGACTCTCTACCTTTGAAATAAAATGAATATAACTATATTTCTACAAATTGAAAGAAAACTGACAATAGTGGAAATCATCTCTCAATAGCATCTGATTTTCATATTAATCCATCTAGTGAGCTCCAGGAATTTGGCAAGCCCCATGGTGTGATAATGGGGCCATGGAGAGCTGTCTTTATGTCTCTCTGACAAAGATGGTTCTCACATTTTTCCAGGGAGTCCAGTCTCAACAGCATGCCAAGTTTGGATAATTAAGGCCAGGTAAGGTTGAAGGATTTGAGCAACACACAGAGAGTTTGTTCAAAAACCAAAGCTATGCTTGTAACGAGGACCATGGCACAGTACTGTATTGGGCATGAAGCCCCAGAATAAAGCAGCTAAGTTGAGACTGCTTCTGGGTTGCAGTGTTCTTAGTTAAGAGTGACACGTTTCTAAGACACATAGTTCCCAATTGAACTGGAGGTGATGATTCAATTTTTAAACTCAAAAATGATCTCTGCTGTGTCAAATCATCTTAACCTGACAGGGTTTATAATGAGAGTTTTTTCTTCTAGCAAAGATAAGACAGTCTTTTGCACATCACAAGAAACAAGTCTGATAGGCAAACGGCCCTATGAAAAAGCTGTAATATAAGGACCACATTTTTTAACTTGACCTTCCTAAAGCATGCTTCATTTTTTTACACAACTGAATTTGGTAAGATACTTTTTACAAAATAGCCATAAATTGCATTGTAAGTCTATTTAGTAAGAATAATAAAGCAAAATCAATTTTTTAGAAATGTCTTCTGTTAATTTATTTTATTTAACAAATGGTAATGTGATTCTTCATATTTCACAGTTAGAGCCTGGTATCACAAGTTATAAAAATATGAGTCTTCAAATAAACCTGCTGGCCAGAACATACCATTTGGTGAAGATGCACTCTGTCAGAGGAGAGAGACCCTCTGAACATCAGGATTTAAAATACGGGAAAAAAGTAAACTCGAATGTTGAGTTATACACAGATTTTGTTCTCCTCTTAGATGAGGCTATGGTACATGACCCTGAGGTTTCAAACAGTGATGCACCATCCAGCTGGCTTACCAGATCATGCCTTGGTTGAAGATCAGCGCCAGGACATTGCCACTGATGTCAAATTCCGTGTAGGAAGGCTAAAGGAGACACAGATGTTCATCGGGTTAGCATCGCAAACGAGGACACTGAAACTCCAGTGGCTCTGCCCAGACATGAGCAGGCTCTCAACTGCTCTCCTTCAGCAACAGCCAAAATCAGCATGATAAAGAAGAAGGCCTCCTGCAGGCACAGCAAGACTCATCAGAAACGCTGACATCCAACTCGGTCAAAGTATGGCCAGGCACTACCTAATACACTGGTGGGGAAAACAAAAACCGCAACAGCCTTTCAGCAAACCAATCCCATTGCGCATATTAAAAGCGTCCGTGACGCCACGCTCTAAGTCGGCTTCCAGGATATTGTGGTGCTGATACGGTCATCTCCGAAGCCGGACATCTTTATCAAGGAATAATGACATCATCTACGTGTCCAACGCTGGCCCAGTGAGAGCAGCACATCTACCCTACGACTACAGGGCAGCCAACTGTGAGCACCTAAAAATATCTACACACACGGATGGAAAAATGCTGTGATCAAACTGTACATCCTTTTTAAATCAACTCTACATGATGCTTTGAATAAAGCCTTGGAAGTAACCAGTAAATTCACAGCTTACAGGTAGGTCGTGATTAAGAAATTTTATTTTTTGTGTGAATGAATTTTATATATTTTTAAAATTATATTTTGGAAGGAACATGAAGTTTATAATAAAAAAATATATAGTTTAAAAATGTAACAAAAAGTTTCAGAAATGATCCAGCCAAATGCCCAGTCTCCATGTCTGAGAGTGCCATCAGGGTCACATATGCAGCCACAGAGTTATTCTTTGTGCAGGGGCACAAAATACCAACTGTACTGAAGTGGACATCCGTGCTGGGCTGTCCTGGCTGGAGTGTTCTTGGTGACGCCTGAGGCAGCCCAGCCGGAAACCCTCCGACCAGTCAGGTGAACCATAATTACAAATACAGTGAAACAAGCTCCTACTTAATTTATAACTGAGAATTTAGAGGCTGGCTGATTGGTAAGAGAGTAAGAGAGCAGCAAATATGACATTGCAGGGTCAAGACAGACCATGGCAGAGAAGCCTATCCTCCAAGGAGTACCTTGAACTCCATAAAGTGTAGGTGTGGCTCCTGAGTAAAATAACCATGGTTAAGCATCACAGTGGAATCTAACATGATGGCAGTTGATCAGACATGGGCTTGAGAGCCAGCTCAACCCAGAACAAGCTATATATCTTTTAACATACTGACTTCTCCTACACTTCAGATTTCTATAAATTGAGAATAATGATGCCTACTTCACAGAAATGCTTGCATAATTATAGTCAATAGGGTATGTGAAGTATTTCATAGTTCTGACACATAACAACTGTGACAGACAAACATAAAATAACAGACGGGCATCCACTCCAACGGTCTACCAATTGCATGCCTCTTCCTTATGCATAATCTCTAACCCCTCTATCATATCTCAAGGAAATTCACCATATTTTTGATTTATATAAATTTACTAAAAACCACCTTACAATTGTAAACAAAATGCCAAGTTTGAGCATTTTCTTATTCCTTGATCAGTGTTCAGTTCTGTATCTTCTTGGATATTCTGTATTCTGTTTGCCTTTATGAGTAAGAATGAGGTCAGAACAAAACCAGAGCAACAGTGAAGACACTCTGCTTTGTGTTACTGCAGAAAACCTAAAGATCTTCCAGTAGGTCTCACCTTGCTGACTCATTCTGCATGAGTCAGTAGATCCTTTAGAACAACCGAGAACTCCCACGTGCAGAGATGTCTTGGAAAACCTTGATTTACATTATGTGATCTGATAATTTGCCCCAAGCCAGTAATAGACCCACCTAAATTCTTGCTCATAGGTTTATAATAACAATATTTGGCCATAAATTTGCAATTACGAAACAGGAACACTTTTTAAATTAAGTACTATTTGTTTATCTGTAAGTCAGAATTACAGAGAGAGAGGGCGCAACAAAGATCTTAAAAATCACTGATTTCCTCCCCCAAATGATAAAATGGCCAGGGCTGGACCGGGCTGAAACCAGGAACCAGGAGCTTCTCTGGGTCTCCCACGTGGGTGTCAGGGTCCAAGTGTTTGCACCATTTTCTGCTACTTTCCTAGGTGTATTAGCAGGAAGAGAGGCTGGAAGTGGAACAGCTGGGACTCCAACTGGTGCCCATATGAGATGCTGGGGCTCTGGGTAATGCCTTAACCTGATGTGCCACAGCACCAGCCCCCGAAACAGAATCACTTTGCACCTAACTAACACAGATGAAATCTGTAGTATGTAATTCAATACATGTAACATGTTTTTGTCTAGCAGTGTACTTATTCTGGTTGCATAAACTTCTAAATTTGAATTCGTAAGCAATTCTGCACAAGTTAAACGGGCATGTCAAAATTGTACTCTCTTGTCCCATAGATTCCTGAATCAACTGTTGGAGGCTGACGTACATGGTTTTGTGTAGAGGTCGTGCTTGCTTTTTTAACAGGCGAGTAGAGCAGGATTTTTGTCTCCTGCTAACACCTGCGCCCCTTATCAAAGCACCTGGGCTTGAGTCTTGGTTCTGCTCCAGCTTCCTGCTAATGGGTCCTCAGGTTTGCAACAGCCATGCTTCGGTTTTCTGTCTGGTTTATGGACATTCACGTGGGAGGCTCAAATTGAGATTTCATTTCCTGGCTTCAGCCTGGTCCAGTCTTAGCTGTTGGGATATTTGGAGAGTAAACAAACAGAGTCTCTCTCTCTCTCTCTCTCTCTCTCTCTCTCTCTCAAATAAATGCATTCTTTAAAAATAGTATTGATTAAAAATCAATAGTCTGGGGAACAGTCATGGCTAGATGAAAACCGCCAGTAATCTATGTGGCAACTTGTCCACTGATCCATCTGTATACACAGAATAATATATGTGTGCTTATAAAGACATTTTTGTAACAACAAAAAGAAAAGCAACATGCCTTCTTCTGTGGTAGACACGGCTCTGTTACTTCCTGTAGCCAGGTCAGATCTCTCTTCCTGCCTGACAGCTTTTTTCTGGAACAGGTCATCCATTTCTTAGTCTAGAGAAATACCCTCGGCAGCCTTTTCTCCTCCAGAACAACCCTCTCTCCGGTTTCCACAGCTACACCTTTCTGGCCTAGGCTTTGTGGTTCGGGCTCTGTGTTGAACTCATCCCTCCATCGGGAACAGCTCCTTCCGTATCTGGAAATCTTGACCCTCCCTCAAGACCAGACTCCTCTCCCCCTCCTCCCGCCCACTTCTACTGCAGCATGCCTTTCTTACTCTTTTTTAAAGGCCAACAGCAGTCCGTTCTGCCTGCCGCATTTACTTTCCACATGCTTTACTGCCACTGGAGTCTTGCCAGATGGAAGGGGGCATGAAGAATGAGAGGGACTGGAGGATGAATGTCCACTCTGCAGAGGACACTGACGTCCCAGGCCATGGCTTTCCCCCCGGCGATATGAGTCTAATGTTTTCAAGCCTTTCAAGATGTCAAGAAAAGTAAAAAGTTCACCTAATGTTATGTTAAAGCTCCCAGGTCTGAAATACTGTGTCTTTAAATAAAATACTCTGAAAACCAACCCCCTGCATCCTGAAAAAGACGCGTAGTGGATGAGTTTGCCTTGCATCCTCCACAACTCTGAATTCCTTCATTATCACCTAACAAGAGCTTGTTCGCAGCGTTCTGCCCCAAATATGCTCTCAACCATATAAGCCACCCACTGGACGAGTCCGCCATGATAGGATCCACGGCAAAGACCCAGCACCCAACATTAATGTTTTAACAGCTGTTTGATCTGCAGCTTTTCTCAAAGAGCCTTCCAAAGGTAGCATAGAGATTTTTTTCTCTCTTTGACCTAAAACAGGAACTCGCCTCCTGCTCTTTGTACTAACTCGGGAACACTGTCAGTACTCAATAAATAATAAATTACACTTATTTAATTACAGCTTTTATGCATCCAGGTCATGTTATATTGACTTCACAGTTGCAGTTAAATATTCTACCACTTAAGGGGAAAGCAGTCAAGAACGCAAGGCCAGCAGAAGCCAAGTAACAGTCCAAGAAAGAAATGGCAACTATGATATATGCCTTGGAAGAGCTGAATCAGGCAAAGAAAATAGAAATGAAACGCAGCCAGATGGATACCTCATAGCACGGAATGGGAAAGCAACATGCCAGCATCCCGGATCTACAGCATTACCTCACTGCTGTTCAACAGAGCGCGCTCCCTGCCTGCATCTGGCTCATCTGAGGAGGCGCATCGGGGAGATGACCTAACTCCAGGCACCACCTCTAAGTCAGACAGCCGGGCAGTGGCTTCAGCCTCAAGTCTTGAAAAAAACTGGTGGAAGTCCTACTTGTCTGTAGTCTAGACGGCATGGGCTTCAAGGACGAAGGACACTGTTTCAAAGTTAGGACAGAACCATCAATGACTCTATGCTAGAACTGACTCTGGACACTTCCTGGTAAGAAGACAGAACGCTGTCAACACAAAGCGTTGCCATCAGCCAGTCCTCCTGTCTTGTCACCTGCAGCACTCAAATAACAGACTTCATGGGCCTCTGTTTGTATGGGACTTTCATTCTGACAGAGGGGATCAGAAAGTGAGAGCTTCTTTCTAAAACACAATGGCAAATGCAAACAAAATAGCAGGTTGAGAGGGAGAATGCCTTAAGGGCTGCATGCGTTTGGAGAGTGAGTCCCTGGGGGAATCTAGTCACTACAAGCCCCAGCTCCATGCTTCCCCTTGAGGGAGAAACAGCTGAAACAAGTGCTAACACCATCCTTCCTTCGAGTTTAAAACCAAAGAGTGCCCATGTTTGTGGACTCTGTGCAAATAACTGCAAAGCGGTGGGTAGCAGATGATCTCAGCAGAGCAGAGAAGCCACAGAGCACACGTGGTCTCGATGGTCCTGCGAGGTGATATGGAAGCCACTAGGGGACTTCAAGGGGATGAGCCCCATCAAGCCCCTAGTCCACCAGCCTTGAGATATGTGGAGCCAGTGTCCAAATCAGGCCAGGGCAGCAGGGTGAGGTGGTAGATCTCAGAGTTAGATGTATGCTGCTGCTGTCCTCAAGTTTTGCGGGAAGACTTGGGGCAGGGCATAACAGAAAAGCAAGTGCTGAGTCACTTCCAGGGGAGCTGACAAAAACAGGAGCTATTGTTTCAGGGAAAGCAGCTTCCCCTGTGAAAATCAGGTCCCACCTCTTGCCAGAGCTCTTTCAGTTACCCGAGCCTTCCTTGTAATATTCGTGATTCTTCCTCTTGTGCCTGTCAAGCTCTTACTGGACTGTGGGGTTTATGAAGTAACCATAATTTCATAAACCAGATTATTTGCCAGGTCATTTCACCCCCTGGTCTACTGAGCAGTAACTGGCATGGGATAGTTTCTCAAGAGTGCAGTCAAATTCAGACAAGTGAATAGAATATGCAGTGGAGAGCATGTCCAAGATGCAGAAATCCAAGCAAGCGGTGGGGTCAGGTGATCAGATGAAGACTTCCTGAGCTGAACACTTTAAGCGGCAGGTTGAAATGAACTATCGTGAGCTGATTTTACCAGATTATTATAAATTGTGAGACTCAGGCCCAACCTCTTCTAAACTGAAGATTTCATTTACTGACATCCAAAAGATCGCACACACAACTCAGGGGTATCCTTCTGCTGGAGCCGTGAGCATACATTGTGCATCACGCGAGAGATGTTCCACAGAACAAATAATATCATACTTACATATCCATATTCCAAGTCCCAGCACCAGCAATAATTGCAAAACCTCACAAAACATGCCCTTAGGAAGTCCCCGATGAGGATGGTGACGTAAGTGGTTAGAACATCAGAAACCGTGAGCCGCACGAATTCCTGTTGAGATATTCTCGGTATTAAAAACATGCACTTCTGTTTTCAAGTTCTCCTGGCATTGGCACAATATGTGCCATGTTTTCTAAACCTTTTTGGCTAATGATTGGGATTACTGGTAGAAGAAAAAGGCAAAAAAGGCATAACTATCAAATGAAAAATGTGTCAACTCTGTGATTAGCACAGAAGTAATGACTGCTCATTCCCAGATCACTGTCTAAAAGTCTTCCCACTCAGGAACTTTTCCTAGCATCACACAAAAATACGTTTAAAAGGCAATTTCCATTACTCTGAACTATCTGGCATTGACGTGTTTTGAAGCTGCTCCAATGCAGGGTAGGCCTTTGGCCTAGCAGTTAAGATGCCTGCATGCTGATTCTTTCTCTCTCTCTCTCTCTCTCTCTCTCTCTCTCTCTCTCTCGGCTTATTTATCTTTATTGAAGGCTAGACTTATACAGAGAGAAGGAGAGACAGAAAGATCTTCCATCTGCTGATTCACTCCCCAAATGACTGCAATGGCCAGAGCTAAGCCAGTCTGAAGCCAGGAGCCTGGGGCTTCTTTTGGGTCTCCCATGCAGGTGCATGGTCCCAAGACTTTGGGTCTTCTTCTACTGCTTTCCCAGGCTACAAGCAGGGAACTGAATGGGAAGTGGAGCATCCAGGACATGAACAGGTGCCCATATGGAATCCCAGCGGATGCAAGGCGGGGATTAAGCACTAGGCCATTGCACTAGGTAGGCCCCAACTGTTGCTTCGGCCTCAAGTTTCCTGTTTCTTCAGAAGTTCAGAACCCCAACAAGGGTTGAGGCACTCCCCAGAAAGCTCAGTCGGATTCTGGGCTTCCAGCATCGGCTGGCCCAGTACTGGACATTTGAATAGTGAACTCACAGAGAGCTCTTTGACTCTCAAATAAGAATTTTCACAAAATGCAAAAGTTCAAGACCCTAATAAGAAGACTTAAGCTTTTTAAATTTTTCAAAATGGAATAGGGGCAGGATTACAATTTATCAATTTATCAATTGTAGCATTTGTATGAGAACAACTGAATGGATACCATTTGTATAACTTACCTAATAAATCTTAGTTATTTTTTTATTAATGAGCAATAAAAGATTGTCTTACCAGAAAATTATTGGCATTGCTCTATTTAAATTCACTCCCTGCGAGGCACGTCTGTTTGAGGCATTACCTGGCCCACCATTGTTTCCCAGCAGGGTCCCCGAGGTACATCAGCAGGGTGAACAAAAAAGGGGAGTCCAGTGCTGTTCCCAGAGAGAGACGCGTTGTAGGCCTTGATCATGTTGGCTTCCCACAGGGTGATATTGGCCTTTACCAGCTTCTCCTCCTCAATCTAGAAAGCAGCGAGGCACACACGGAAATTAAAACAAGAGCTATCCAAAGCATTCTGGGCAATCTTGAGACATGAAATTTGAAGACATGCTTATCACCAAGACAAACCACACATACATTTTACCTTGTTGTTAATCTCATCCATCAAGGCAAGAATAAATACATACAAGTTGCCTAAAAGAAGAGCAAAAATCCGTCCGAGTAGCCACTTGAGAGCAATGAGAGGGTGGTAGTCTTCCAGTTCAGCGAACAGGTCAAACAGCGTCGGGCAGAACATCCCCAGCAGGGACATCACCATGTTCATCTGCAGAGACACAAGCCATGAACCAGGTGACTGGTGTTGACACTTGTCATCGTGTTACTCCAGAAGCTTGGAAGACTCGCGGCTACGTTCTTCTCATGTTTTAGAAGATGGAAGATTATTCCATACGTTCTTACAATTTTATCTCAGCAAAACAGCAGAGATAATATCAACTGTTGTTTTGAAGAAAACGCACACATGAGTTTGTATGAGTACCAGTGATAACTGTTTACTGCCACGGTGAGAGAGAAGGTTTACATCATTATACTGAGAGAACACATATTATCCTGCAGGGTAACCAATTCTGATCGGGTGATACACTTCACAGCAAGATCTCCAAAGGAAATGGAAAATGAACTGCATGAAGATGAGGTACAAATTTAAAAATGCTAATTTGACAGTCATCGGCATATGGAATAGTTTAATCAGTGTACAATGGACTAATTGCCTGGGGTGGGTCTAGGTCTAAATGTCGAAATATGGGAACTCTAGGGAATCTAAACTTTTAGTGGCAGAAACAAAAGGAATGAGTTTTATCCGAAGAAAACAGAAGATGTCATTGAAATAGATAAAGGACAAATAGCTTAATATTATGGAAGCCAAGAAAGTAAAGTTTCAAAAATGAAATATTGGTCCATCAGGACCAAGGCGAGAGAATGATGTGGGGGTGGAAGGTAGCCATATGATAATTAAGAAATGCGTCATCCTTAACTCGGAGCTCCATAACACCCATATGATTTTGTTACCAGGTTAAATTAATTCAAACAATTTAGAACATTTGCAACTTTTATAATGGCAAAAATTATGTGTTTTTTTTCCCTGATAACTGTCCCAAATGACTGGTACATACTGTCACCACAAAACACTCCCTGTTTTCCTTATGGATTTCACATTTTGAATGAAACATGGTTACATCTACCAGATTATAGCTAGGAAATAATTTCCAATATGTTCTGACTTTTTTTTTTCATTCGTATTAAGAACACTATATGACTCACAGGAGCCAAAACTCAGCACGACAGAACATAAAATCAGCATGCTCTAATTCCAGACTAATGGCAGAACTTGTTAGCAATTTGGCAGAGCTTGTGTAACTTTACACAAGAAAAACATAAATTTGGTCTTGCTCTCATCACATCTGTAAAATTATTCATACATCCTCATTATTCTCTTCATTGGCCCCTTGGGACTCAGGGTTCCCTAATAATGAGTGTTAAACAAGTTCTCACAAAGAATGATTCTTTTGATGCTAACAGGAGAATTTTATTATGGTTAATTTATAAAAACACATGATCAATATAAACTCTAGATCCCAGCTGTATGACAATTTTGCCTGCCCATTACACATGGACAGTTGATGTATATGAAATTCAATTACATAGAGAGGGAGAGGGAGAGACACAGAAAGATAACTTCTAACTCCTATGCACCGACCCGTTTCCCAGATGCCCATAACGCCACACGGACGCTTTAACGGGCCGTCAGCAGGGAGCTGGATGAGAAACGCAGCAGCAGGGACATCAAAGTGCTCGTATGGGATGTCAACAACACAGGAAGAGGTTTTGCCTGATACGCTACAGCACCAGACCCTACCTCCTTTCTCTGACCTTCCAAACAGAGAAAAAACATCTAAAGACAAATCACAGGCTTAGTAATTCTCAGAAAAGAGCCAGCCTTCCTCATTCACACAGTAACTGCAGGGAGAGGATGCAATTCAAGGAGACAATGAAGGTAAGATAAGGATGGGTTTCTAGTAGACCCCGACCTAGACACAAAGGTGACGCCCTGGAGTGAAAAACTCGGCTCTGCCCACTGGGCTCTCCTGCTGATGAGCGTGGACTCAGATCCTGCTCACAGAGAAAATCACAGGATTACGGTCTGACCTTGCAGTGAATGTATCGGGGCTGGCCTTCTCGGCTGCTGATGTCTGCACAGTGGACAGCATGTCTAGATGCACACGGGGACATGAAACCCAGATGATCTAGGCCAGCAGGGGACATTGACTGCCTCGTCAGAGGAAGGAAAGCAGAACAGGTTCAACAGTACTCTTGGTCAAGCTTTGCAGCTTGTTCCCCGCCCTGTGGATGCACTAAGGCGGACTTTGTCAACCAACAGATCTTGGAAAGATTTTCTCAACCCTGGAACAGTGAAGCCAACTTCTCAGAACCATCAAAACTACTCAAGTAGCATGCTTGGAACTCGCTTCCCCATATCAGGGTCTCTAAGGCATTATCAAAGGACATCCTCCCTCCCCAGGTGCTGATGTAGGTCGAAAGAAAGAAGCGGTCCCTTCCCCACTTCCCCTGTAGACACAAGAGAAAAAAAAATCAAAACATTTGTCCCACCCACCTTCTTCCATGCCCGACCCTCCCACCCTAATCAGAGTGCATCCCTCTCAACTATGTAAACAATATTAAAAAGAAAAATTACAAATCAAAAAAGGAAAAAAAACTAGAATGGAGAGGAAAATGTGTAGAGGGTTCGCTAATTGAAAGGAGGAGATGAGGGGATAGGCAAAGAACGGCCTATGGAACATTTCATCACGGAAGCACAACAGCCAAGGTCAGGTTCTAAGCGCATAAAAAGCACGCAGAGACGAACTTCATTTTTTTCCCACCACCCAAGGGTGTCAGGGTCCTGCTGCGCAAATTCCTGGGATCTCTTCACGGCCCAGAAGATGAGGTATCCACTTGCGCCCAGTGTCAGGAACACAAAGAAGTTAGCAAGAAACCTCAGGAATCTGATCAAGTGCACGTTTTCTTCTACTTGAGCAGCTCTTTCCTCTGTGATGGCTTCCTGCATCCAGGCAGACAAAAAACACAGTGACGACAGCTTAGCCACAGTAGGTGCCATGAGCTCAAGAACGTGACAAATAAAAAGGACACCAAGTTTGGGATTCCATAAACCAGATAAACACTGATAATTAAGGCACATCTTAAAATAAGAGAAAGAATTGTTGCCAACAAACTTTCTCTGCGATACCAGGCCAGTGTTCATTGCAAAGCATATTGTTTTCAAGCACAATGTTTTTTTGTTTTGTTTTGTTTTTCCATGTGTTTGACTTCGTTTCATGACACAGTTTCATAGGCACTGGGATTCCCCCATCCCTTCCCCGTGCCCTCCCCCCATGATGGATTCCTCCACATTATCGCAGTTGTACATTTCAAATCCAGTCACGGTTCTTTCATTGCAAGCATGTACCCTGTACAGAGTCCAGCATCTTATTGTCCAAATAAACTCAAGTTTATTTAAACTCAAGTTTCCTTAGGAGACCATCTCTGGTCTGAAAGCAGAGATGGCAGAATATCACCCCGTCCAATGAAAAGCCATAACATAACATCAACAACAGTTTACAACATTATGGAGTTAATTGGCATGGTATTGAGTGACTAATATGTTAGAAAATGGAAGTTCTTAACCACATCCTGTGACTACTTCATTGACATTTCAATTTTAGTTTATACACAACGAGCTGCTCTACGCCTTAAAATGGTTATAGGGTACTATTCAGCTGCCTCATGTCTATTTTCATTTTTATATTTAGCTGTTTATAGTATTGAAGCATAATTTTAACTGAACTTGGCAAATTTTAGGATAGTCCAATCCGGCTTGTAACTCTAACTAGGCATATGTTAACAATTGAGGTACAAAATGTTTTGGAAAGTTATTTCAAATATTGAGCCGATTTCCCTCAATCATCGGTGAACATTGTTCTATTGTTTAAAATATTTATTTCTGATTACTGATGGTCTCCTGTTACAAACAAGTAGCAGTATCTTATTACCAATTTTAAAGAAAATTCCTCAAGGCACAAAAATGCTGCCTTGGATCATCAGATATCTTCCAGTGTTAAACAGATCCGTGCCCAAATCCCAACAGGCAGAAACATTGAGATCATCTTTCCATATAAATAGTGAGCCCAATTGGAATGCCTAAACATTAACTCTTCAATAAAACCAATTTTGAAGTTTGTGTCTTTACCTTAAAGTTCATTGTGATTGAATTAAATTTGTTGTCTGCTGTTTCCGGATTGCCGATCAGGTAATCCCAGCTACAGAAAACCTTCCAGCTGAAGTTGAAGGTGTTGTCATCACCTCCTCCATCATCACCAATATTTTTGGTCATCCTATAAAGACAGGATGTTTAACCCAACAGCAAGAATACATAAAAAAGGAAGTGCATAGAGAGGGACAAATAGCACAATTCTAGATAAACTGGAGAAGGAATAATTGAAAGACATATATTTCCCCTCAAGTTTGTCCTAATATCCAAATAGGAGTTCCATTTTTAAATTTGATTTTTGTTTAATTTTTTAGATGGTCAATTCTCCAGCCCTTTCAGCTTAAAAAAAAAATCAGTAAACAACAATGATTTTAACAGTTGAGCAGCTGTATAAAAATGTAAGGCTTCATTTGTTTATTTTAAAATGAGACAACGTTCTATAATAGACTCTTAACCTTTTGTAGGTTTAGGAGGCCTTTAACAAGCTCATGAACACCCTTAATTCCATTCCTAAGAAAAAAAAATACACAGAGACTTTAACACTGTCCCACACAACTTTTGCTGATTCCCTCACTCAGAAGCCTGAGGACCTGCCACACACATTCTACTTCCTTTTAGCATCTGCTCCCCAGAAGCAGCTAAACAAATGCATTCAATTTCAAAATTAAAATTTCTTAGGAAACACATAAACGCGTTCCCACAAGGTTATCGTGATGCTGTGAAACCAAGGGAGGAGGGACCATAAGCTGAGGTTGACACGATACATTGGCAGGCATCTTCAAGTTCATTTAAATTGTTCTACCTCTACCCCACTCCTTGCTGGGCTTATAAATCCTAGTGATTTATTTTCAAACACATCCACTTTAAAGTTTGTGCTGATTTACGTGAAGGTTGAAGAGACAGAGATATGCTGCCTAATGTTTCCCACCCCAAATGCCTGCAATGGCTGAGGTTGAACTGGGCGAAGCTAGGGGCCAAAGGCTCGATCCAGGGCTCTGACTTGAGTGGTAGGAGTCCAGCCAGCTAAGCTGTCAGCGTCTGCCTCCCCTGTGCTCATTAGCCGGCAGCTGGGCTGCGTGGTGGGGCAGGGACTCACAGCTGGGCACTCCTCAAATGACCTCCACGCACATTGCAAGTACTGCTTTCACCGCTTTGCCATTTAAAATACAACAGTACAACAAAATACAACAATAATCATTGCTTTCTACCACTTCACCTTTTGCAGATAAATCCTCTTAAAACTTTCAGCAAGAGGTGGGGGCTGTGGCCTTGGCATAGGAGATTAGGCTTCTGCCTACAGTGCCAGGATCTCACATCCCAGTTTGAATCCCAACTGCTCCGTTTCTGACCCAGCTTCCTGCCTGGAGTCTGACAAAGCAGCACCTCTACCCACGTGGCAGAAACAGAGCAGGCTCCTGGCTTCGAATGGACTCAGCTCTGGCCACTGCAGTCATCTGGAGGAATGAACCAGCAGATGGAAGGTCTGTCTGTGTCTTTGTGTCTTTTCTACTCTCCCTGTAACTCTGCCTTTCAGATAAAAACAAATAAGTCTTCTTAAAAATTAGCAAGAGGTCAAGGTAGTCATTTTTCTCTTTTTAATCGATGAGAAAGTTAAAGTGCAAAGACATGAAGTAACTTGCTGGAAACTATCCAGCCTTAAGCCACAGATCTCAGCCTATCACTCAGGCTTTCTGATTTCGCTCCGATGCTCAAGCCAGGACATCCTGGTGTACATAGAACAATAGAAAACACTACTTCTGTTCAAAAAAGGTTAAAAATCAGATGTCCTTTAAGATCTAGAGACAAAATTACATTCTTGATGGATCGTTCACACCCTCTTTGAGTACAGGAACGGCAAAGCCTTGAGTAAAAATGGACATTTGACTTTTGAGCTTATTCCCTTATTTATATAGTTCTCTGCTTATCTACTTAAGAGGCAGACAGGTGCAGAAAGAAACAGAGGGAGAAAGAGCGCACCATGCGTGCATTATCCGCAGCACCCCAGGGGAGGGACAAGAAGCTAACCGGGCCTTCCATCACCACTTACACATTAGCAGGAAACTCGAGAGAGAAGCCAGAAGTGGCTCAAGTGCAGCCGTTCCAGCATGGCAGAGGGCCCCTCCCGACAGCCAGGTCAGTGGAGTTTCCTCACTGCTAACAGAGCTCTGCAAAGGGAGCCGAGCTGAAGCAGTGAATCATTGTTCTAAACACTAACAGGTGAGAGATACGTGCAGAGGAATGGGATGATGAAAGGAATAACGAACATCAAAGAAAAAATGCTCGTAACACATTCTATTGTGGTAGTGATATAACCCTGGTAATCTGTAAAATATTCTACATATGGTTCGCTCTCTCTGTGTATATATGTAAAATAATTATATATATATATATTTCTCCTTTTCAGATAAACCGAGAGGAGAGACAGAGAGGAAGATTTTCTATCCATTAACTCACTCCCCAAGTGGCTGCAATGGCTGGAGCTGAGCCAATCCAAGCCAGGAGCCAGGAGCTTCTTCCAGGTCTCCCATACGGGTGCAAGTCCCAAGGCTTTGGACCGTCCTCGACTCCTTTCCCAGGTCACAAACAGGGAGCTGGATGGGAAGTGGGGCTGCCAGGACATAAACCAGCACCTATATGGGATCCCGGTGCATGCAAGGTAAGGATTTTAACTGCTAAGCTACTGGTTTTATATATATATTACATATATATATATAAAGCCTTGAGATATATATACATATATATGCATATATATATATCTCAAGGGTAGCATTTATAATTTCCTAAGGTTTTTATATGGAATCTCTTGCCTTGGGCCACAGTTTTATCACTTCATTAGCAAAGTGGAATTATTTAGGCATTTGACAAATGCACATGGATATTTTTAATAATTCAGTATCTCAAAAAAATCTCAAATCAACAGGATCACTGTAAACTGGAAGGAAGAGGACTGAGCGGGAAGTGAAGAATAACTTCAGAAAAGCTCACACGGCGAGTCGAGCACACAGCCAAGCAGAAGGGCAGCTGCGTGAATGCCAGAGAGTCGGGCTGAACAAAGAAGAAACTTCAGCAAATGTCTGCTACCGGTGAGAACAGAAGAACACAGATTCACAGTATATTGTCCACAACCTTTTGTCATTCATTTATTTAAATTCTGTCCTTCCAACAGCAGCAAGAGCCTTATTCTGTTTCACCATTATAACCCAGGCACACTGCAGCCAGCATTGCGGAATAACGGCTTAGGCTGCCGTCTGCATGGCTGGCATCTCATCTGAATTCCAGTTCTAATCTAGCAACTTACTTATGTAGCTATGAAAGCAGCACAAAATACTGAAGTCCTTGGGCCTCTGCACCCACAGATGAAGCTCCTGGCTCCTGGCTCCTGGCTCCTGGCTTCTGGCTCCTGCCTCCTGGCTTCAGCCTAGGCCCAGCCCCAGCTGTTTGGTCATATGGGGAGTGAATCAGCAGATGAAAAATCTCTCTCTTCTTATTTCTCTTTCTTTATCACTTAGCCTCGCAAAAAAATTATTTTAAAAAAAGGAATTATGCATCTTTTTCAATTACCAATATTAAGTCAATATTAAGTGCTTCTTATGAACAAATGGCTACTAATGAACAAATACCTGAATATAAATTATGGACAATAATCTGAATATTATTTTATTAATTATGAAATTATTATGTATTAGTTTTGGAATTAAACTTCCCCCTGGGAGGAAACTCACCAAATGCATAGGAATAGCATGAGCTCACTCCTGCAAGGAATAATACATATCAACTATGCTTACTTCATTACTGTTTTCAGTTCTGTCCTTGTCTTTTGATATATTTCAATAACATCATCTGATTTTGTAATTACTGCTATCCATCCTGAACCACAACAGTCTCTGGTCCATGATTCTGACGGGAACATTTTTCATGTTGCGCTCTTTAATCACAGATGGAGTCCGTGAAGCAATAATGTAGAGTGGGAATTTACAACTAGAAGTCTTCTATCTCTCATTGCCTTTCTGCTGCAAACATTTTCTAACACTTGAGGAAGACAAGACAAGCCCAAGCTTTGTAAGATTTTCCAACTGTTCAGGCTATGCCAACTGACCTGACCATTATTAGCCTACCATTGTATATAAAATCCATCATCGGAGATATTACATTAGTTCATCGCCAAAGAAACTGTCTCAGGAATAAAGGTTTAGGTTGCGGATTTACTATGAGTTTTGATTAATGTTCTCTGACAGGTTTTGTTCTTTGTAGCATTTTGATAGCAGGAGTTGAATCAATGCCATTGTAACTCCATTACTCAAGGGAAAAAATTTCAAACATTTACTTATTTTTATTGGAAATTCAGATAAACCAAGAGGAGAGACAGAGAGGAAAATCTTCCATCCACTGATTCACTCCCCAGATGACCACAACAGCTGGAGCAGCACTGATACAAAACCAGGAGCCAGGAGCTTCTTTCAGGTCTCCCACGTGGGTGCAGGGTCCCAAGACTTTGGGCTGTCCTCGACTGCTTTCCCAGGCCACAAGCAGGGAGCTGGATGGGAAGCGGGGCTGCCGAGATTAGAACCAGCGCCCATGTGGGATCCTGGCGAGTGCAAGGAAAGTACTTTAGCCACTAGGCTACCGTGCTAGGCCCCTATTTAATATATAATTAAATTTTTAAAAGGCTACCCCGAATGAACTAGAGACAGCTCCTTATAAGCACAGATGTGTCTTCATCAGAGATTAGGAAAAGTATGTTTTAGAATAAAAAGATGCTATAATCTCAGTTTGCCAATTTACTGGCTATTTGAGCTTAGTCAACCCATCAGGCTCTGCAGAGCCTTAACTGTCCACCTATTCAAAAAGCATAATTAATTCCTACTAAATCCAGTATACAAAATTGATGGCAGGAGTAAGCTGACCTATGTAAGGAAATGCATGATAGCAAGGGATGGCACATCATGATGGGTAAAAGACACCTTTCCAACTAGAAAAATCTAGGATCATATGGATTCTATTGTCAAGTGACAGAATCTCTCAGTATTGTTCTTTTATGTGCTAAATAGTAAAACCAATACTTATTGTGTAACATTTATAAAGATAATATAATTTAAGTTGAAGCACTATAGATTTTCAGTGAATTCCAATTACTACCATTTTACATAAAATCAGGGCTACTACTACAGATTTAGAAATATGAAGGAGTATCTTTGTGCCTTGCCATCTATAAAGATGTTTATATTCATGTGTTATAGCTTGCTTAAGGTATATGGTCTATTCAGGTTTATGATATATAAATGCATGAATGTATATGCACATATATATATGATATCCTATAGAGGAAAACATTTTTACATCAGTTGGCAGTTACATATAGCATGTGATTTATATGATGAAAAATATTAGATTATTACTGGTACAGGCTTGCTCATAAATAAAAAAACGTAAATCTAATCTCAGTAAATCCTGCAAGAGAGAAGTCTTCGTAAGCCTGTGAGATAAGATACACAGCAGAGTTTCTTATGAAGGCATGCATTCCCTGAATGATTGCTATTTCCAACAGTTTAGCTGTAACTCACATTAGTGAAACCCAGAATTTTTAACCTAGAGAATTGTTGTTAATAAGAATCCTTGGGTGGTGAAATCAAAACATCAATTCTTTAGAACGTTGAAGTTTAAAAACTAATAGTGACAACATAGGAAGGAACCAATGGTTTCCACGTCGTGCAATTTTCTTCTCCTTTTTTTTTAGATTATTTATTTTTATTGGAAAGACAAATCAGATTTAGGGAGAGAGGGAGAGACAGAAAAATCTTCCATCTGCTGGGTCAGCCTCCAAAGAGTGGGACTCTACACCAGCATGGGAGACCCGGAAGAGGCTCCAGGCTCCTGGCTTTGAATCTGTGCAGCTCTGGTCATTGCAGTCCCTTGGGGAGTGAATCAGAGGATGGAGAATCTTTCTCTCTGTCTTCCCCGTCCCCCGCCCCACTATAAATCTGACTTTCTGACTATGAAAACAAATAAATGTGTAAAGGAAGCAAGGAAGGAAGCAAGGAAGGAAGGAAGGAAGGAAGAAAGGAAGGAAGGAAGGAAAGAAAAAGACACACATGTCAGAGCCAAGAGTAACCCCAGGGCCCTGAGCCTTCACAGAGCCAGCTGTTCCTGACATCTAAGGAACTGGACAGGGCCGACTCCCTCAGTGACCACAGAGACCATCCAGAGGTGTCATGGCAATAGCTCCTATGCGCAGGAAGCACAGCGATACGGCCAGATGACAAGAAGACACCTCACATTCTGGGACGCATTAGCATTTTGTCAGGCAGCCAGACACTTCGATCTGGGGTCTCTCATTACATCTGCACCACCTGATTAGGGTTTTTAGCTAAGAGACCACTAACAAATCTTTTTACAAGTCCTGAAACAGCTTACGTATTAAACATGAGAGTTATCCCAAGAGGATCGGTAAGTGCGGCAGGGCTAAGACACAGAGTATGTCTCAGACTGCAAGCCCAGGCTTCCAGGGACTGCTTGCTTGACGCCACAGAGACCCCGAGACGGGCAGTCTTTCACAGTGAAGTGAGGGTCTCCCCTCCTATGGTCCAGTCAGTGATGGCGACACTTGAGATGTTCAACGTTTTCTAAGCTCGCTCAGAGAACTGGCTAGATGATTGATGGTTTTATATCTGCCTCAAATAACTATGCTAGATTTCTGCAGTATCTTTAAGTGAAGTATTATACATATATTTCAGGCAAGGAGGGGAAAATGAGCTGTAGTTTTATCATTTTCCCAGAGAAAATGCTTCCCTGTGCTATAGTAAATCCATTCCCAAGAAATAAAGCATGATTATACAGTCCATCATGACTGCCTTATTGCAGACCATTTGTTTTTGCTGTCTCACATAGCTAGCATTTTTTTTTGAAAGAGTGATGATTCTGGCTTTTCAAAAATGAAGAGAAAACAACATTCTTTCTATTGAGCTGATCCTGCAAGTTGCCAAGCTCTCTGTACGTAAAAGAGGGGTCAACAGCTGTGTTCCCATCATGTCAGATCCCTCGAGTCTCACCTTGAAGCACTAAACGAAATGTTTTAAGAATATGCTTAGAGGCAGACACTTCTCCTAGCGGCTAACACTCTGGTTAACATGCCCGGAGTTACCAGTTTCGATTCCCAGCTCCAGTTCCTCACTTCTAACTTCCTAATAATGTAGATTCTGGAAGACAGTAGGTGATGGTTAAAGAAGCTGAGTTCTTGCTGTGCAGGTGGGAGACCTGGTTTGAGTTTCTAGCTCCTGGCTTTAGTCCAGCCCAGCCACTGTTTGCATTTAAATAGTGAACTAATCGATGGGAACTCTCTGACATAAGCCTCTCTCTCTTTCTCTCTCTTTTTCTCTCTCTGAAGTACTATTAATTTTATGTACATAAACCTGACAAAAGCCTGCAACCCTCAGTTTCCCCCTATAAAATAATCAAACACCTTAGGATCCATTCCTTCTGATTAAGGAAATCACAATCTAATATTAGTTTCAGCGTTAAAATTATTGTTCGCCTCTGACTGACCACATCCTCTAGGTATGAGAGGGCAACAACAGTACACCCCGGCCTCAAATCGATGCCCCCATTTGAGGCCAGAAATCGTTCATGCTTTTCCCAAAAGACAAATGAAACTTACGCTTTGAGGACAACCACAAAGCTGTAGCCAATGCACATAATCCCCACCAGAAAATAGGAGAGCGGCAACCTGAAGTTCAGCCATCCAATGGTTCTCTTATTGTCGTAGTAGCCGTAAAAGAGGACAGAATACTGTGCCAAGCCCTACAAGGCAACCACAAAGCCAGTTAGCGCATGCTGTGAAGAGCAACTCAAAGGAAAAGACCGACTTGTAAGACTTGTAAGCCGCTCATGGGTCTCACAGGAGCCCTGTTGTTTTGTACCATAGAATGAATTTTTCAGCTGTCACACCGATAGGCGGCGTTTTGGTTTAGTCAAACTTCAGCGACTACTAAAGACACAAAACTTTTAACCAAATACAGGTTTGCACAGTTGTGGAGCCATTAACATGAAATGCTTGTTGATTCAAACATCAAAACACACATCTTGATGTTGCTAGATTTGCAATTTTAAGAGCTGACTTATCATGAGGGATATCTGAAAGGTGCTTGGTGCTGTGGCAGATTCCATTTCCAGTCACCTGAGCCATGATTAAATTGGTTTTCCATAAACCACACAGGCTATGTCTTAGCTCCCATAAAGCAGAAATAAAGAGCAGGTGAAATGACGCTGAAAACAATCTACTAGAGAACTCTTCATAACAAGCATAGTTGCTGTTTCTCCCAGCAGACAGCAGACATCATTTTTTAAAATCTCAGTGCTTTTCATAGTTAGAGAAGTTACTTACACAATCCTGACATGTGATGATAATGGTTACAGTAATACCCATGACTAACACTTTCCAAGCACTTTACTCCATTTCACAGAATTATCACAAGAACCGTACAATGCTGTGAACCCAAAGGTCATCATTTCCCCCAACTTTTGATGTTTCCTTCCTTGTGAAAAAGATACATAAAAGTAATAAACTCCTTGCTTTTCTCTTCCGCCTCACTCCAGGCCCAGGGAGGAAAGCTAACTTGGCAGACGAGAAAGTGAAGACCTCTTCCTTGTGCCCCCGTCCAGGAGCGGTGTGACTGTAACGCCCATGAAGAGGAGCTGCAGCATTCAATGTCCACTTTAACAATAATGGGGTATGTTAATCTCTACCTGTCTTCTTTTGTAAGCTTACAATGTGGTTGGACGAGAAGGTATTAATTTTTATTATATACATATATATGACTTTATTTTTTCCTCTCAATTAAGATTTACATACACAGGAGATCACTTCACCCCTCTCTCTTCCCCCCCTCTTTCCCTATATCCCTCTCATTATTTGTCTCCAAATTATTACAATGGCATCATCATTTCATCCTTCCATGCCTAAATTTCTGATATTTAAATGCATCATGACATGACAAAGAAAAAGGGAGAAGCTAAAGCAACATGATATAAAAGTACAATTAAAAACAATCATGGGAGTCCTGCTATTGTTCAGTGGTAAAGACACGTGCTGCACGCATCCGCTATCTGCCAGAATGCTGGTCTCCCTCGTGGAGTCTGTGGATCTGTGTGTGTGTGTGTTCTGCACAGCACTAGTTGCATACAGGAGAAGGAAGGTATTATTTATTGTGACTACTCCACCCCAATCAGCAACACACACACAATGATTTGATAGCTAAGAAACTGAGCCTTAGCATTGCTGAGTAACTTGCTCAGGGTCACACAGTTTGTACGTGGGAGTCTGAACTTGAGCTGAGACTGTATCATTCAAGTCCCATTGACTTCAGCATTGTGCTGTATCGCTTCTCCTGTGCCGTCTTCACCTCCCAAGGTCTGCATCGTGCTAGGGACACACCTTCCAGGAAGAGAAACAGGAAAACGGCCAACTCAGTATGGACTTTGATCTCTCCCTGTAGGTTGCCCCTGGTGGGGCTAGGGTATCTTTGAAAGGGTCCTGGACCGACTTTGGAAAACATTTCATAGGCTCTCATTTACATATGCATAATTATTAAACATGCCTGCTTATAGCTTCTTCCCACAGCATGAGAAGAGCCACCCCAGAAAGAGCATGGGAGGAGAAAAGAGGCCCAGTGAACATCTGGCATGCCTGCTAGGTTAGCTCAATAGCTGCTGGGGACAGCTAGCTCATCTGAGATCTGTACTGCTCACATATGTTCAGTGGCCGCTGCTTCATAAATATTAGATCACAACCAAAGAGGAGGAAGAGTTCTGGGATTTGGGGGGAGGGGAATTATGATAATTTCACAAAGGATTGCTCCATTTGCCTATTTGTTACTTATACAATTATGTAAATGAAAAAGAGGTATCATCAAAGAGTACAATTTTTAAAAGCTTTATCCACACCATCTTACCAGTATGTTGAAGGGTGGCTTTACATACAAGCGGAAAGGTTTAGAGCGGGAACACGCCTCCCCTCTCCACCCAGTGGGCATACTACACTTCATGCATCTTTCCCTTTAAACTCCAGCAGCAGCCATCTGGACGTGACTAAAATAGCCATGACTCTAGGCTAGCTGAGGTTCTGTTCCATGCCCACACCAGTGCTCGCTGCACTCCCTGTGGGAGCACTCTCTTAAACCAGTCAGAGCCACGCTGCAAGCAAGCACAGAACATTCCTGTCCAGTCACAGGGTTCTATGGCTGCACGGTGTGCCTGACAACTCTAATTCCTGCTCAAACGCTGCAGCTGGGCTAGCCCATGAGAAAGATATACTCTCTTTCTAGAATCCTAGTATCAACCCGCGTGTTCCTTTCTCTACCTAACACTTACTGAGAACTTAACTCTTTAATAATGTCATGCATTCATGCAATAAGAGACCAGATTATGGAGGACTTCAAGAATTAAACATTCACTGCAAAAGAACTTCCTCCATTATGTTATATTAGAGTCCCATCCGCTTGGAGCTTCTCAGGATTGTGAACAAATACCACGACAGTAACACAGATTATTTTTGAGATTCATCCAGTTTCTTAATAATGTGAATTTTTTCTTTTATGAATATCCCCTCATGGGTTTCAAGTGCTTTTCTGTAAAAATCAAATCTTTTAATTCCATTTTCCTACTTATACTTTCAATTTTCCTTATTTTTATATTTTTATCTGAGTTACTATCGGTCATGGATACCATGGTATAATTGAAGGTTTCAAGTTTTTATGTCTAGCAGATGGGGACACAGGACAGAAGCAAGTTCTGACAAAGTTAGCGACACCCAAAACGATACCAGAACAGCAGTCAGCCAATGGGGCCCAGTGGATTTGTAACATTTGCTCATCTCTAAACTACCTTTCCCTTGCTACAACACAAATCCAGAGACACGATGCAGATGTTAGGTGGCTTTTAACAGATATGTGTTGGTTATGCATTGCAAGCTCAGCTGAAGCTTAGCAGACCATCCAGTCCTCAGGAAAGAAAACAGTGTGGTATCCCAGGGTGCGGGGTGAACTCTGCCCTTCGGAAGGTAATTTCTTTTGATGCTCTGCCTCTGATCTCTGCCCAGATACGGGGCATTGTCACTGCCTGGTTTTTACTGCCTTGGGGGTGCAACATATTTCCATCAGGATTCTTTCTTCCTATTCTCTTGTTCCCTCAACAAACTGGATTTTTTTTCTCAGCTAAGTATCCTAGGTAAATATTTAAAGCAAAAAACATTTGATAAAACACTTACCAAATACCACAGGTATGACTTACATACATAATATCACTTTAAAAATAAATACCCACCAGCCTCCTACGAAGGCGTTAAAATTACTATTACACACATGGCAACTGAAAAGTCCATGGCATTTGTTCTAATGTCTCGCAGGGTTTATGTGGCCAGATTCAAACCCAGATCTTCCTGAATCTGAGAAATGAGTTATTTTCATTATGCTAATGACATTTTTAGCTCCTCTGTATATAGTAGTTTTATCTTCCTTTGGTGCCATGACAGACAACTGAAAATAACGTTTGGCATTCAGAGCACTACGCCAGTGCCCATCACATGTCTTACTGCATTTGAATGTCCCATGAGAGGCAGGAATTCAGCACATTAAAATTTCTGCAAATGTACCATTTCTTCCTCCTATTCCAGAAAATGGTAAAATCAACCTACCCAACTCACCCTACCCAGAAATCAAGATATTTTCAGTCTTCAGTTATTATCAGTAGTCCACATCCACTTCTCGCGAAGCCCTGCAGCCTCCTCCAATCTCTTCTTTGTACTGCCACCCTTCAATAGCTCGTCTGCCTCGTCTTATCCCGCATCCCACCCAGCTCATACCACATTCACAAAGCAGCTTACGAGAGCTTGCTCTGGTCATGTCTCCACAGTTTCAAAACCTGTGATGGTCTCTACTGCCTCTAGGTCAGACTCCAATTTCTCAGCATAATGTTGTTTAGTTCTTACATGATAAACTATTTTTTGCTAACTTTTTCTGATCAACTTTGTTGGATCACTCGTACGTGTTAATATAGGATCATTTCCTACTCCTGTATTTTTATAAATGCTACTGCCTGTGCTTGGAACACTGTTCCAACTGCCCTTCTCATCTCAGAGACTTTCTTTGGAACTACTTTAAGGTGCAAGAATGTAAAATAAGGCCCAGCGTGATAGCCGAGTGGCGGAATCCTCATCTTTCATGTGCTGAGATCCCATATGGCCTCCAGTTTATATCCCAGCTGCTCCATTTCCATCCAGCTCCCTGCTTGTGGCCTTCTCTGCTTAGATCCAGCTTTTCGCCAGTGTGTTTAAGAAGGTAACATGTGATGACCTGAAATAGCTGGGACCTTAAAAACCTTTTAAAAGCCTAGGTTGCAGGTCATGGCTCCCTGCCTTTGATCTGTCCTAGCGCTGGCTGTATTGTGGTCAACTGAAGAGTGAATGAATAAGCAGAAGATCTCTCCCTTGTTTTCATTCTTGTTCTGCCTTTAAATGAAAATAGTTAATCTTTAAAAAAAAAAAAAGATACAAGATGGGGCTAGCACTGTGGTTCAACAGGCTAATCCCCCCACCAAGAGGGGCCAGCATTCCATATGGGCTCCAGGGCATGGCTCCATTTCTGATCCAACTGTCTGCTTGTGGCCTAGGAAGGGGGTGAACCAGCAGATGGAAGAACTTCTGTGTCTCTCCTTCTCTCTGTAAATCTCATCCAAATAAAGAAATAAATATACCTTTTTTAAAAAAAAGAATACAAATTCCTGATACATGTCCCAATCACAGTTAT